TCAAGAATTTTTGCTGAGGAAATTCGGAAATTAAAAGAAAGAATATAATTAGTTGCAGTGAAGAAAAAATAAGAATCTTCGAATGAGACAATCAATTTTCTCGGATTTTCTGATTGTACAAATTTAGCTAAATTTAGCTAAAAGTTTAGCTAAAAATTTAGCTAAAAGTAAGCATCCTACTTCCATTCTTACCTAAAATGTTTCCTATAAATCAGTTTCTCAATTTTGTGAAAATAATTTATATAATTTACTGACATCGCGTAAATACCTCCCTTATTTTCCATTACCATCATTACAATCAGTATTATTTACAAGTGATAATATTTCACTCAATTTCGGACTAAATTTCCAGTAACAGAAAAATTCCAAATATCTGATCAAATCGTAACTTATCAAACAAATGTCGTGATACCTAGCATCAGCACCAATGGTACCTGATAAAATAATACTCGATTTTAGAGAGACGAACAGTGCAAAAAGGATGCGGTAAAATATATGAGGAGAACGGTTGTCAACAAAGTATTTTCGGTTCCAAATGGACATCACGATGTGTATGTGATCAGATGATGTGTAACAATGATGAAATTTTGGCAACAGCTAACTTAGAAACAGCATCCTGTAAAGCTACTACCATAATCTTATCAGGTGTTGCACAAATTATCTTGATTTCATTGGTTTTTATTCTTGTTGTTATTTCATGTCCATTTATTACTATCAACACGATATGCTTCATTTTCTCTACCTTTTACGTTTCAGGAATGGTATAGTAGTGTTAAGTAAGAATTATTGATTAGTCTGGAGGTTGAAATTCTCAAAAACAATAATTTCACGTTCATTTCATCATGTTTTCCTAACTTACTTTTCGACAAATGTATTCTATTAGAAGCATACATGCTGTAGGAAAATAGTTGATTATTTTCAAAATAAATTTTGCCAAAGTGTCAACCCTTAGAACTACATGAATTAAACAATACGTCACCCACATACAGTTTCTAAGATCATCGGCTGCATGACAACAACATTTTTTTTGGCTACCATTCAGAAAATTAGTTTTGTAAAAAAGTATATCCGGCAACGGGTTTGTGTAATTTCGAAGCAGCGATCCATCTAATTCCCTATTACTGCTACAATTTGGGAATCTCTTCTAGAGTTCAACGTTGAACAAAGATTGCGACTAATCATTTTTGACATATATTAGAAGACGAAATTGATTCGAATAACATTTGTATAGCAAAATGCTTATATTTTTATCTTTGAATTTTTTATAACTAAACATCAGTCGTTAGAAAGTGAATTTTTCCTGTCTCTAAATTATAATGCGTTTAATAAATTATGCAATTTTTTGGAAAAACTTTAAAATTCATTAACCTGATAATAGCAGTACAATAAGCAAGCTTTACATTTCCGATGTTGAACCAATCATCATTTTTGGTCTCCTTATCCATAATTACTGCGCGTAATAGCATTTCAGTCATATCTGCAGCCACGTGTACCGAATCTCCCGATCTGAATGAGCTATTTTCATTTGTATAACTAATCGCACTCCAACATCCTCCTTTCTTTCTTGATTTTACATCCCATGATGGTATGCAATAAACTTGATGCAACTTAGAGATCTTGACGAGCAGGAGTTGGCAAGAACTAGATTATATAAACTAACAATGATAGCTAACAACATCAATTCCTTTCCGGAACAAATCAATGCAAGTCGTACCCGATATACCATTATGGTATAATCAAAGTAAATACCACAAGGAATGACTAGCAGTTCTGATGAAAACCAATAAAATTAAATATCGTTTAGGAGAAAATCGTTTTTTCGTTTGAGAGGAAATAATGAAAATCAAAAATCGTTCGAGAGTTTGGAAATGTTTGGAATACTTCTAACAGTGAATAAAAATGTAAACTTCATGGAAATTCATAAAGCTCGCATTTTTATCTATGGTTAATAAGGTTGATGCAAAAGCCCAGCTGATCCCTGTGGTA